TTTTTTTTTTTTTTTTTTTTTTTTTGTACTGGGGATCTAGCTTGGGCCCTTAATAGAGAAAACCAGAAATAATAGAGAAAATCAGAAATGATGAAGCTGGTCTCACAAAACAAGACAATATCTCACAAGTGTCAAAAAATGAACTCAAATATAAGAAAAAATCGAGATATCAAGTGTCTCCATGGATCCTGGTTGATAAGGGAAGAGTTTGAAAGTGGTGGACTTTCAGGAAGAGCAGGGACCAAAAGTGGAGGTGCAAGGGGTGGCTACACAGACAAAGGATGGGAGTCCCCCAAAGGAGAGAACACAGGTGTCTGCCTGGTTGTATCCCTCATTAATGATAGAGAAGTTCTGTAACGTAAGACAGGACCCTGCCTTGCCTCCATTTTTTTTACCCTATAGAATGTTTTGTTTAAGAAATGTAAGTCTGTGTTGCTGTTCCTCTGCACAGTGTATCAAAGTGGTTTGTGACAGTTTGAAATGTGTGACCCTTCAGAATTGTTTTGCTAAGCTCTGCCCCCTCACAAGAAGGTTCTGTTAAGCTCTGCCCCCTCTCAAGAATGTTATGTAACTTCACCCCTCTGCTTCAGGAGTGTTCTGTAACTCTGACCCTTATTTTAGTGAGCATGCTCACAAGGCCTAAGTTTCAGGAATGTTCTGTAACTCCACCCCGTTGCTTCAGTGAGCAGATTCACCTAACATGTAGATCCCTATATAAGGAAGCTCTAATTTCTAGTATAGTGCTCAGACTCCTTTGAGCCCCTGGGGCTCTCCAGCATAATAAAGGTCTTTTTTTCCACCTCTTCAGCTAACTATTGGATTCTTGCATCTTCAAAGAATGAGAACTGTGACCCAGAGCTGACACACTGAGCTGTACCACTTAGGTCTACATCTGAGCTGTGGCACTTAAGCTGCAACACCGAGTTGTTCACTTGGCTGTAGCACAGAGCGGTTCTCCTTTGCTGCCACAAAACTTCTATGAGAACTTTTAGCTCAAAAATGTAAAACTTACTCTAGACACCCAAGTCAAAAGTGAATGAAACCACACGGAGGAGAAGCTGCTCTGCGGATGAGTTCCTTCGAGGCTCTCTTCATATACCTGTTTCTCAAATTGTAAATAAAGGGGCTCAACATTTGAGAGACCACAGAATACATCTCTGGAGCCACTGTTGGGTTCAGTGACTGAAGCAGTACTGTACAATCCAAAAGCTGTTCCACAGATTAAGGAGACAACCGACAAGGAGAGCCACAGGTGGAAAAGGATTTCTACTTTCCTCCTGGGGATGGTACCTTCAACACAGAAGACACGATGTAAAAACAAGACAAAAGGATTCCACAGAGAGGAACACCAACAAATATGCAAGCTGAGGTGTAGATCAGGATGGTAACAAGCAGAAGATCAGAACAGGCAAGGGTGATAATCTGAGCGAGTTCACGGAAGAAGTATGGATTTCCTTGATTGTGTTGAAGGACAACCGCAGCACCATCAAACCGTGGAACAGTGCACCTAGCATGGTAACTAACAGAGAGAGCACACAAAGGAAGACGCAACGGTAGGTAGGGGTTCATGATGACTGTGTGGGTGGCAAAGGGCCACAGCAGTCATAGGCCACCACATCAAGGGGAAAATTTTCCAGGAAGGCCAAAGCTAAGACAAAACCGACCTGGGTGAGGGCACCTGTGTAAGTGATGCTCTGACTAAACGTGCTGATGTTCGTGAGGATCTTTTGAAATATAAATGTGCTTATACACATGTCAGCTGAGGTCATGGGGGAGAGGAAGGAGTACATGGGGGTGTGGAGGTGGGAGTCAGAGTCAGAGCTGACGGCCAGGATGATGAGCAGTTTTTCCAGGATGGTGACCAGGTACATGGTCAGGAACCAGCTAAAGATGAGGGGCTGCAGCTCTGGGTCATCTGTCGGTCTCAGGAAAAGGAATTCTGAGACAGCTGTTGGGTTTATAGCTTCTATGTTCTCTATTGACCTGCTGGAAAAGATGCAGTGGAAGTAAAATGAAACCACTACTCATTTACAAGCAACAGGTGTACCACCTGGTAAAATAGAGAGAGAGAGAGAGAAAAAAAAATTGCTACCATTATGGATTTACTTTTGACAAATGCAGTATGAGCAGAATACATTTTCTTTCTTTTCTTGGTCTGTTGTTTATTTAGTAGTTATATGTTCTGTTATTCATTGTTGGTATATGTTGGTAACACATAATATACTCATTTACAAGCAACAGGTGTACCACCTGGTAAAATAGAGAGAGAGAGAGAGAAAAAAAAATTGCTACCATTATGGATTTACTTTTGACAAATGCAGTATGAGCAGAATACATTTTCTTTCTTTTCTTGGTCTGTTGTTTATTTAGTAGTTATATGTTCTGTTATTCATTGTTGGTATATGTTGGTAACACATAATAACTACATTTATCTTGGGGAACTGGTACCTATACCCATTCAAGTTTGATTATCTGCACTTTCCTTTTCCTCCGGCATTTTTACTCTCCTCTTCCCCAGATCTATTTCCAAACTCCGCAAGCCTCTTTATTTTCATAACATCTCTCTTTTATGTTGCTCTTTAAAATTCTTGTATTTTTGGCTTCTCATATAAGAGAAACCATGTGAGTGACTTATTTCACTTAGCAGCACGCTCTCGAGAGGCATCGGGATGGGGAGTATCATTCTCAGGCCCAGCATTCAGCTCAAGACAGAAGGGTCTTCTGGGTTATCCATAGAGAGATCCATTAGTGGACCAAGCAAAGGGTCCCCAGCTTTCTGTTCAGGGGATCTTGTTGGGTATGAAGCTGGCATGTCCCGCAGCCACCTGGTATTGTAATAATTTTTGCATTACTTTAAATAGTGCTTCAGCTAACCAATCTAAAGAGAAGACTATTTTGCTTTGAGCTCTTCATATGTTTCTGGTCTCACTGCATTTGAGGCAGTGATGTGGGAGAATATTTTGACCAGGAGCAAGTGGTGGACCCATGCTGTTTATTTCACGGTAGCTGAGAAGAAAGGAGGGATTGTTTTGCTTCACACTACCACCTCCTGGGGAACGGCCACAGGATATGACTTCCTCCTAGTCGGCTCCACCTGTTACAGGTTCCAGGACCACTCAATCATCAGAAACTGGGGGACAAGTTTTTAACACATGGGCCTTTGCGGGCATTTCAGATCCAAACAACTCTACAGGAATTGGTGGTTGTAAGGAAATAGCACTATGAAAGCATACAGGGCTCAGTGTACTCCTAATCCTGGACACTCTGGTGAATTCATAATAATACATAATAATACAACAACTCTCTTTGTGATCCAAGCATATTATTGTAAAGATTTCTTCTTCTTATAACTGGAGGTATCTTCTTTGGTCAAGTTCAAAATCTCCAATATCTCAAAAACACTTCAAAGCATTCACAACATTTAAATAAATCATGAAGCTGAACAGGGGAGATGTTAGTATGACCTCAGAAGGGTCCAGTTACTGGGAAAATATCAGCGCTGACTTAAATATGGACAACAGTTCAGATCATTAGCTTCACATGTGTTAAAACTCACAAACTATGACTACAACTATGGGAGCACGCAGGATAGCTCAGAAGCTCATCTTTCGAAATCAACACAGACTCTCTCATATGTATCACTGTTCCGTCCACTGCTCCAGTATTGCCCTCTCTGAAACAGGTCTAAAAATAGTTCCTGAGACGGAAACCTTTTATTCTAAGCAGTTAGAACAAACACAATAGAGCTTAGAGAAATCATTTGCCAAATAGCACAAAATTGGACGAATCTAACAGGAGCTTAAAGTACAAGTTCAAATGTGCTTAGGCATCATATCTTGCAGTCGCCTTGAAGGAAAGTGGTGATTTGAGAGACAGGTTTTCTGTCTCACCTGCATCTTTGGCATTTTGTCACATTCTAAAAATTCAAACTCAAAGCTAATGACACAAGAATGTAAAAGGATTCCCAGTAATGAGGTGCCTGAGAGCCGTCTTCATTTCTCTGTTTCTCAGACTGTAGATAAAGGGGTTCATCATTTGAGGGATCACAACGTACATCACCAAAGCCACTGCATTATTAGTGGAAGAGTCAGTAATGGCAGAATTCAAGTACACACCAAAAGCTGGCCCATAGGATAAGGAAACCACAGAGAGGTGAGACCCACAGGTGGCAAAAACTTTATACCTTCCGGCCACTGAGGGCATTCTGAAAACAGAGAAGACAATTTTAGCATAGGATAAAATAACTCCAGCTGTAGGAACACCAAAAAATATGTTTGCTGCTGAATATATCAGAAGGGTATTTACAAAGGTATCAGAGCAGGCCAGCTTGAAGATCTGAGCAAGTTCACAGAAGAAGTGAGGGATCTCCACATTTGTGCAGAAGGTCAGCCGCAGCGCCATCGGAGTCTGGAGTGGGGCGTGCCCATTGCTGATGAGCAGGGAGAGAAGAACCAGAGAGACACAGAAGTCAGGTGTCAGTATGACCTGGTATCTTAGGGGCTGACAAATGGCCACATAGTGGTCATAGGCCATCACTGCAAGGAGACAATTGTCTACACCACAAAAAGTCATGACAGCGGTGCTCTGAGTGAGGCAGCCAGGGTAGGTGATGCTCTGATCCTGTGCTTGAATATTCATCAGCATCTTTGGGATGGTGGTTGTGCTCATACAGATGTCAGACAAGGACAGGCTGGAGAGGAAGAAGTACATGGGGGTGTGGAGGTGGGAGTCAGAGCTGACGGCCAGGGATGAGCAGGTTAAAAGTCATGACAGCGGTGCTCTGAGTGAGGCAGCCAGGGTAGGTGATGCTCTGATCCTGTGCTTGAATATTCATCAGCATCTTTGGGATGGTGGTTGTGCTCATACAGATGTCAGACAAGGACAGGCTGGAGAGGAAGAAGTACATGGGGGTGTGGAGGTGGGAGTCAGAGCTGACGGCCAGGATGATGAGCAGGTTCCCGAGCACTGTGACCAGGTACATGGACAGGAACAGGCTGAAGACGAGGGTCTGCAGCTCTGAGTCATCTGTCAGTCCCAGCAGAAGGAATCCTGACACTGCTGTTTGATTTTTCAGTTTCATATTTTTGGTGAAGCTGTGGAAGGCATGAGGTGAAAATAAACTGAAACAAGTATTGTGTGGATAAGCTCCAGTATATCTTGGTGATACAAAAAAATTCTGGGTGTCACCCTGGGTGTGTGTTACACATGATCTTGGAATGAGGGCCTGGACTCTGTGTTGATAGCGTAGGATGAGTGAACTGAATATTTCCATAGGTTCTTTTTTTTTTCCAGCTTTAATTGAGTTTATTGGTACATTTTAGGGATACAGTACAGTACATTCATTGTTGGCATCTTGTACCTCTACATGACAGGTCTTGGTTCTCATTTTTTCCCCTTACCTCTGCCCTCCCTTCACCCCCTCTCCATAGCTTCTTAAACAGTGTCTTAAAACAAAACAGTTCTGAGTCACAGTGTAAACCCATGTGAATTCTCAGCTCATTCTCTGATTCCCTTCTGCCTCCCCTTCTCTCTCTCCTAAGTGGGAAGGGTAGGGGAAAGGGAATAAGGGAAAAGAAAAAGTATGAGAAAATGAAAATACAGTGTTTATAAACAGGGAAGGGAGAAGGGGGTGAAGGGAGGGCAGGGACGGGAAAAAATGAGAACCAAGACTTGTCATGTAAAGGTACAAGATCCCAATGATGAATGTAATTGTACTGTATACCTAGAATGTACCAATAAATTCAATAAAAGAAAAAAAAAGAAATAATCACCATTTCCAAAATAAAACTTGGAATCTACAAATATACTTAGTCACCATAAAATGGTTATGAGTAACATTCCTTGTGAAAAACCTCATTTTAATAAATTTCCCTTTGGGCATTAAAAAAAACGATGGTAAAAGGAACACTAACATGGGGTAATACCTCCGCTGATGAACTAATGGTTGATATCTGAACACATGTGCTGAGCATTAGGCACATCTGCTGCCTTGTAGGAAGGTGATAATGGAGTTAATATTTCGACTAAAAGTGAAGGAACATTCAGTTCAATGCCTCTTCATGTGAAGATCACTACTGTCATGAAATATTAAGTGTTTTTCAAATTCACAGGAGAATTTTTGACCACAAGAATCATAAAAAGCATATTGGGGCCCCGATCCACCATGGGAAGGAGAGCCACGCCTGCTCCCGACCCAGCCGCCATCGCTCCAGCACCAGGAAGGTAGCCAAGCGGGCACCCCGAAACCCCCACAACCCCCTCCCCCACGCACTCTCAGACCTCCTGATTGAGCCAGTCTTTGGACCCACTCTGCAGAGGCAGAGTGTTATGTCTACATAACACTACAAAATCTACAGCTAGACATATAATAATCAAGATCCCAGAAACCCAACAGAAGAACAAAATAGTACAAGCAGTAAGAGAAAAGAAACAAATCACATGCAAAGGAAAGCCCATTAGAATCACAGCAGACTTTTGAACACAAACTCTTAGGGCAAGGAGAGCCTGGAGTGAGATATTTCAAGTACTAAAAGAGAACAACCTCCAACCTGGACTGATGTATCCTGCAAAACTCTCTTTCAAAATAGATGGGGAAATAAGACACTTCCATGACAAAGAATACCTGAGAAACTACATGAATACCAAACCAGCACTACCAGGAATTCTAAACAAGATCCTAGAAAAAGACAATGAAGGCAACGACACCATGCGGCCCAACAAAGCAAATCAAATAGGCAAGGCAAGAAA